AAAAAAAAAAAAAAAAAAAAAAGAGCGCATCAAAATTTGCGCATGGCGCATGGCGCATGCGCACCGCACGGCGCACCGCAGAAGTGCGCCGTTTTTCCTTTTTTTAGGCTTTTTTGAAGTTTTTTCCCTTTTACCCCCATCAGAAGAACAACGTGCAATGATCAGCACAGATCACAGCCTGAAACTCTGTGTTTTTCTGAGAAGTTACGGTCTTTTTATGCGTCCATAATGCTCCACATTCAGATTTTCATGTGCAACCTGCATTGATTTGCTTGTGAATGAATCTGCATCTTTTTTCTGCTGAGCTCCAGGTCAACTGCATATGTCGCGGTACTCTTTGGCCGTGTTGCCGTTTCTGTGTCCTGGGAAGGGCAGTATTGAAATACGAGTCTAGGACTGAAATTTGGCAGCAGGACTTACAGGTAGGGGGTGTACATGGGTAAGTACAAAAGTTGCCGCGGACACGTAGATGAGCAAGGTGGTCCGCTGGAGGGAGCAGTTTGGGAGCTGTGGGGTTCTTCTTCAATGGACATTAGATGAAGAGCAACGAAGTCCTCTGATGAGGAGATATCGGGGTGACGAAGATTCTCACGACGTGGTGCGATGAGAGAGAGATGCATCGAGATCAGAAATCTCATGAAGAGCCTCATGTGTGGATTGGACTTCTTTCACTTCCCTTCCTCTCTTAGGCACTTGCTCCACTGCACAACACTACATGCATTCAGATGCTTTCTGGACCCGATACATTCGAAATGCTGAACTCAACCGTCCAGAAAAGAGTCCAAATGCACGTAGTGTTGTCTAGTGGAGCGAGGGCCCTACTCTTCATTCCCCTGTTGCAATTCATGTACTCGCCTCAAATTGGGGTTTTGTATAATTATTGGACTCGGGGCTATCCAAACAGTACTTCAAATATGGATCCCTCAGCATCATTATGCCCAACCCAACAGTTCTTCAACACTTGATCAGATGATCATTCAGTGGACGAGGCAGAAGGGCGACGCTGTAGCATCCTTGTTGGATGTTCGCAGCTTTTTTCTTTCGCACATTGTCTCCTCCGCGAGAGTAAAGCCTCACACATTGTGCTATTCTTCTACATGGAGTGTGCTCTTTCTTTTCAATGGATGCTTGCAGTTTTTGTTTTGCACATTGTCTCCTCCGCGAGAGTAAGGCCTCACACATTTTGTTTTTCTTCTGAATGCAGTGGGCTCTTTCTTTCCTATTTCAGTGCCTCCGTTCCGGTATTCCTCTTCTGGTTGCCAGCCAGTTGGAAATCCCTGGCTGCTGACTCTTTGCAGTTTATCAGCAGCCAGAAGATCAGGGGAGCATCCTGCTGTGTAACAGCGCATAATGGCTCACTATCACACCTGCTGATACACTCGCAGGTGGCACAGACTGTGAGAGGCGGGGACTTTGATGAACTGGGAAGGAGGAAAGAGGCCTCCGGGAGCCAAGAGTAGGGGGGTTTCCAAGAACCCCCTGCAGTTCCAAGAAACGCCTGGGGAGTCCTGGAGAGGAAGTAAATTCCATGGGCTTCTGAAGGGATGGAAAACATATGGCAGGAGAGATCTCTGAAGATCTCTGACGCTTTTCGACAGTCTTTTAGAGGAATAAATGGGAGCAAAAGATTGGGTAGATATCGATCGGGTGACTTGCCCCTCCACTGGTCTGCAATAAACTGCAGATTAGCAGTGGGCTGTATAACTCAGTAGATTAGTTAAATTTAGTTTTGTAGCATTTTAGGCCGTTTCCTTTCGTCTTTTTTGCTGCTTTTGTGTAGGCCTGTACGTCTTAGTGTTCTGCTCGTCTTAGTTCAAACTAGAGGTCGTGTCTAGAAATAGGAGGCTGGCGAGGCACTCGGGGTTCCTTTTGCTCATTCTTCTTCTCACGAGCTGGGTGAGAGGTCGCGTTGGAGCTGGAGCGCTATTTTTCAGCAGCACGGCAGCATCATTTTCACACGCTGCTGGCGGCCATAGCTAGGGCGAAGCAGCTTTGTTGATGACAGCAGTGGGCTAGGCGCCCAAGTACTGAAGAGCGCTTCCTCCGATTTGTGTGCTGTTGGGGTTTGGGCAACTGCCACGAAGCAGCTCTTTGAAGTCTCCTTCGATGTGGCAGGCCTTCATCTTCATCGAGTTGTTGTTCTTCTTCTTCATCCTGGGAGTTGCGCTCCCCTGCTGAGTGGACACATGATCTGCAGCTGGGTTTCACGAGTCGTGCAAAGTGACGTGTTGGATTCAGGAGGGTGTGCGGCATTTGCAGGCTTGTCTGGTTGGGCGCTGAACGTGGAAGTGGCGCCATAGCTCGAGCTTGGGGATAGTGGGAGGAAGAAGAAGACTCCCGGATACTTCGATGAAACTTTGTATGTAACTGGTCCACAGGTGTTGATAACGTGGTGGGGATTCTTCGGAAAATCCGTGTTGCTGATTGAATTGGGGAGAGATGGTAATTACAATTGATTTTCAAATCTCAATTCAATTCTACTTCGGGAATTTGTGTGCTTCCGCCGTGTATTTTCCTCATTTGGTTTTTGCGTGGATTGCTCTCTCCAAGTCCACTTGTCATTGCGCACGCGTATGGGAGCACGTGGATGTCACGTCGGATTTCGTCTCAATCAGGCCCATAACTGTTCCATCACCCCTTCCTCTGTATGCCCCCCCTGACCTTCCTTCTCACGAGCCACAACCTATAACTAGATTGATCCCAAACTTCCATTTGTTAATTGAAACAGAAGAGATGCAATACTTGTGAATGTATATGTTCCACTATTTTGTTGCAGTTCATGTAGTACTTCCATGTTTCCGGACTTATATAACGGCGTTTCTGCACTCACTCAGCTTGACAACAGATGCCATCAACGCTTTCGCCACCGGATCATCCAAGACTGAGTAGCCTTGAACGACTGCCCGCACCTCTCCAGCAAAAGCCTCATAATAATGACGCAGTACCTGCATAGACCAATCATCCACACCCGTATCATGTGAATACGAACAGCCATGTAAACACCAGGGGTTAATCATTTGGCATTTTTGGTAGTGTTATCTTTGATTGTGGACCACAGTTCAAGTGCAGCTAAGCCTTTTGGATGACTGCTAGCAGACATCTGCATGATGTATGGAAGACACCACTATTAGGCCTTTCTAAAGTGGGATAGACTTTAACACGCACCACTAATCCCCAGCATCTTGTTTCCAATGGGCAATTTCGCCTGCCCCTGAACAACGGAACCATTGCCTGGGTCAGGCTTAAATATGCCAGCCATGTGCATCACAATAAAATAGCGCAATAACTTTTCTGAAAGGCAAAACATTCTCCTTCTATTTTTAGAATACGTTTTCCCGTTATACAGCAGCATGTACCCTTGATTATTTTCAGATTTTATCCTCTCAATAGCACTCATAGACAAAATTTATATGTACCCCCTCGCAAAATATTTTTCTTTCATTTTAAAAATATTTTATTATTTTCCCCAAATTTCCCCTTATAGAGCAGCATGTCCCTTTCCATTATTATTTTCAGATTTTATTATCATTTTATCCTCTCGCTACCACTCGTAGATCAAGTTTATCTTTAATATTCTTTATCCCCTCGCCAAGACCGACGAGTGCTGGAGGTCTAGCTAGGCAGAACGGTGGTGGTTTTACAATTTAATTCCTCACTCGATTGTGGTGAGCTAGACCGATTTTGCCCCTGGATTTAAGTGCGCTCGATAGACGAGACTGCTTGATTGAAGTGCGGTCCACTTAACAAGTTGAAACGTTTCCCCCCAGCATTCATAATCATTTACATATGTGCAGTTAAAACTTAAAATAGCGTGCATGCGGTCAGCGGGAATGCTGCCTCCACTTAACAAGTTGAAACGTTCCCCCCAGCATTCATAATCATTTACATATGTGCACTTAAAATAGCGTGCATGCGGTCAGCGGGAATGCTGCCTCTACGGCGGCAAGTATCAGCAACCACACTTCCGGTGAATATTTGGACAACTTGTGTCATTCGCACCATAAGTTTATGAGAAAAAGGGAAGTAATTTTCAAGTAAAAAAATACCCCGATTGCCCTGGACACCGCTGAATCCACAACCCTTCTTCCAAAACAAGAAACAACTGCAGTAGGAACTGCTAGGAAAGGTTACTCTCCACATCCCTGGGCACCTTTCTAAGACTTTTTTAGAGTTTTTGGCTTTGGCAAATATTTTTTTTAAGTATGATAATATCTGTTCTGAATCTTCTGATCAGTTCATAATCTGATTCCGTGGACCATCAGGCCACATTCAAAAGATAGGTTGCTCTTCACAGCTGATCTTACTACCGTCTTGACCCGAATAGAACGCCCGGTAATTATCGCCGTATCTGGACTGAGAGTTGCACCAAATACAGCTATAATGACCGGGCGTCCTATTCGGGTGAAGACGGTACTTGGTAGTACTTACTACTTAGTAATTGCTACATATCCAGAAAAGGGGAGGGGGAAAACAACTACTCAAATCATTTCTTGTTCACAACGACTGCGGTGCAGCACTCAGAATACCCAGTCTAAGCTGGTAGTTTCGCCTTTGTCATCGTACCTTTATCTCATCCTGTACACCTTGAAACTTGTTCACCAAGTCTGCTTCATTATTGTTCACTTTCTGCTGCAGCTCATACACCTGTTTTTCCCGATCAGACAATAGCATTGCTGATACATGGCAGGAAGAGATGGTGGAGCCAGGGACAGACCACACCACAAATGTTACAAAACATGGAAATGGACAGTCGAACAAAGAAGAATAAACACAAGAGATTACATATAGAAGAGGGGGGATGCCCTTATCACTCCCGCAAGCAGGCCCTGCCCAGACTCCAAAGAAAAAAGAAAGAAAAATTTAAAAAAAAACAGGAGTCAAGCTCGTGAAGTACCCTTTGGTAGACCACTGGACATAGATAATGTACACCGATATGAAAAAAATTCAAAAAATTAAAAAGACTAACATTTATTATTTCCTCGATTTCCTCGACCTACCCAACAAGCAAACTTCTTCGCAAATGTATGGTTCTCTTCTCACACCCAGGGTTACTTTTTCCCCCCAGCAGTTTCTTTTTTTATGATTCTATTCATATTCAGGGACCCAAGGGCCTCAAGTGGGTCCCAACAAATTTAAATGCGTAAAATCCTTTGAACAATAGCAAATCATACCAAATCCGACCTACAGTGTCAGGATTTGGCACCGAGCCAGGTCGGGCCACACCCTATCTGACTGGGTAAAACAGGGCAGACAAAAAAAAGGGGGAAGGAATTAGAAGACAGACATAAATCTGACATTGCTCCAGATCTGCACTTGCTCTTCACAGTCGGAGTTCAGCCTTGTCCTTGAATTTGGTCATCATTCATCAGGCCACGTCAAGGGTTGAGGACTACAGAGGGGTGTATCGTGTGCCTTAATATGATTTTCTGATTTTTTTCTTATTTATATTTAAACCACCAGTACCTCTGCCAGTGTTGGGAAATTACGATGTCTTGGCCAGTACCCGAACTTTTCGGGGTGGGACACAGGGTCGGCAATGTCCCATAAATCTGAATTTTATAGTGACGGAAAAAGGGGCAAAAAAAATGCTTTCTCTACTGCAATGATGTCAGGTTGGGTAGTCCAGGAGGCCGTGCTCACAATCTTCCTCCACAGAATGCACCTTATAGGTAAGGCGGTCACATTCTGAATGTTACTATTTTCTTTTTTTTGTTGGTCGTGTGTTTCTTATGAGTCCCCTGTCCATGAATTGCTCAAGCTGTCCGTGATCTGCTGAAGCTGTGTTTTGTCAGAGGATTGTAAGGCTCATCACACTGGCACTTAGGGGAATGTATCCAGCCATTTTCACGGTCGGATACATGTGCCCGTTTTTTTCCCCGTTTATTCTCTTTTTGGAATCTGACAACCTGGCCACGGGGCTGAGATGCCCTCATTGAGGGCACACTCACACTACCACTTCCAAGAATATATACAACTGCAATCACGACCAAAGCTTTGTTTCCTCTTTTTTCTTTTTTTTTCTGAGTTTCACGGCCGCAACTTTTCTTTTCTTTTTTGTTTTTTTTTTGTTCTTTCCGTGAGAGTACCAGAAAGAGTACCCAGGCTCGGCAAAACTCGGAGCGCAGTGAAATTCAGGGTCGGCAAAAACAGGCTCGGAGGTACTGGTGGTTTAACTTGAAATTAGTAAGTAATACCGAAGTGACTCTCAGTCAAAACTTGTTTGAACTGCAACTTTACAGAACATAATATTTTTGAATATTTTTTCTACATTGTTTTGAAATCGTTTTCAGTTCTGCTGGGGTGGCCCAGGACCTTGCCCTGACCTGACCTGGACAGCAAGAGGCAGTCCAGACACCCTGTCAGGTAACCTAGAATCCAACAAAAACGTGTCACACTCTGCGTAGGTTTACATTTCACAGACGACACACGGTGGGGGACCAAGTCCACAAACTCCAGCTGAAAAGTATCACGAACTTCAACAATACGCTCAGAACTCACATCTTACTATCGTAGTTTTACTTAGCCTGCCCATACAAGCGTTTTTTTTTAACTGGTTTTTAGTTTTAACTCCCAATCACAACAATGAGAATGATGCACACCCAGCTTGATGATATCATTTTACTATAGGCCAGTAGTAGCTTTTGATCTCTCTCTCTCTCTCTCTCTCTCTCTCTCTCTCTCTCTCTCAAGCACTCACTCTTGCTCTCAAGGACTCGGTCCTTTTTAACTCGCGGTAGCAATAATGAGAATGATGCACACCCAGCCCGATGATATCATTTTATTCTAGGCCAGTAGTAGCTTTTGCACTCTCTCTCTCTCTCTCTCTCTCTCTCTCTCTCTCTCTCTCTCTCTCTCTCTCTCTCTCTCTCTCTCTTTTGCAAGCACTCACTCTTGCTCTCAAGGACTCAGTCCATTCATGGTTTCACTGTTGCTACTCCCGCTGCTGTTATTACTGTTTTCACTGCTATGGTTGTTGCTGCAAATGGCATTACAGCTGTTGCTGCAGCTGTCGATCTTCTCAGTGCTGACAAAAATGGGCATTCAAGTGCTCCACGTCCCCCACGAACTCCCACAACGCGGTTTCTGCAGCAACTAGGTGACAGTGAAAGCTGGTGATTGAGGCTGGTACACTGGAGAGGAGGCTGGTACACTGGAGAGGCAAAGAAGAGTTGAACTGTAACGAGAATGACGAACAGGAATCAGTCTATCACTTTTCGACTGCAAGTTTCATGCAAGAGTGCTGGCCTCATAGAATGTGGACTGCGCACCCAAAGCCTCACAGAGATGACCAGCCCTGACTGGAAACGGAATTTGCCGACAAAATTCCAGTACCTAAGCTTTCTTTCCCCAATGTGGCTCCCTGATCCACGCAGTGTGGGTGTGTGTACGACCGTCCAGATCGTAGCCTGGTTTTTGAGAAATTTTGACCCGTTACTTATCAATCGATGAGAATGTGCACAACTGTGGTAGAGATAACAATCCGACGGATCGAGAAGCCCAGAATAGGTGAGGACTGCTGAACAACATCTGAACTACCCCTGGATGCAAGTCAATTAAACAATTTTTAACTACGTTTACCAGATAGATACAATAGCATTTCCATCTGTATAGAAGAACTACATCGAGTGTTTTGACTAGTTTGCAACTACACACGTGGCCAAAGGACGAGAGTAGAGATAAGTCTGAATCTCAAGGATTGATGAAGCTTAGACATCACATTATTTTGGACTTTGAATCCTCAGTGATGAAACCTCAGTCGCTGTGCACAATCAATCCACACACGATTCCCTTCTTTCCCTTTTTTCCACAGACGTTCAGTAACTTCAGTCTAATTACTTACCGAGTTCTTCTGCCTCTGCTCCTTTCTCAGCCAGCTCTGCCTTCAGCCTCTCCATATCATCCTGTCTTGTCTGCAGAATGCCACTTCTTGCACTGCAGTCGTTTTTCAGCTCCATAAGCTGCTTCTCTAGGTGCTCAACCTTCTTCTTAGCATTCACCTTAGCCTGCACTTTTGCATGAGCAATAATCAAACACAAGCAACTCAACAAAATCAGTGAATGGCACTGAATGCCCTTTTAATTTTTAAATCCGACTTCATCCATCTGCACTGCTCTCTTTACCTTCAGAGTCTATCCGTGCTCGACAAAACAACCAAAGATGCACCCGGAGGTCAATATGTTTGCGCTCGCAGAGTAGCTTGCTGTTCAATGATACATGGAACCCTCAGAAATCCAGAGGCTGCAAATCCTCCTCACTTTTGCAGAACACATCAAATCATCTTTTTCCTTCTTTCTTTTCCAAAAGGGAATCATCCCCCTAACTTTATCTCACAGGATTTGAAGTTCTAGCTGTCAAGTTGCTAACCTTCTAAGTTGTGCCTCTTAAACCACCACTCTACCTGACATTGGAAATTCGTCGGAGCGGTAGCACAGGTTCACGAGGCTACCGGTACCATAGTGTGGTGAACCGGCACAGCGGTGACAATGGAATGCGATGAATTGCCGCCACAACCGACTTCGCGGCTGAAACCTTTTTTTTTTTTTTTTTTCCTGCAAAGATCACAACCAAATCTACAGACCCTCCAAGTTTCAGATTTTTTAACATATTCTTGAATTGGAGTACTTTTGCCTTTGGGTCACAACAGACTCACAAGTTGTAGAGTGGCAAAAATGGAAACTGTGACGAATTGGCACGGCATTTATTTCATGGGCTATTTTTTTTTTTATCATTTTTCTGATATTTTTCCTGGAAAGATTACGACCTAATCTACAGGATCTCAAATTTTCAGATTTTTTTCTTGGTTTTTCAGAGCGCAAAAACTAGCCTAAGTTGGTGCGTGAAAATTGTAGGACCGGACCTGCCTGCGCCCGCCGGTCGGCGGCCCCCCTAAAGACCCGCTCCGATCTCACCGGAATGCCACTTTTCGGTGTCGGGTAGAGTCGTGGTTTAAGTGTGTACCGCTCACGCCAGACTTTCTAGGCATAGCTGACTGCACATGCGATCAGGTATTTGAGAAAAGTCAAGAGTACGGCCTTATAGCAATGAGGCAGGTAACCATCAAACCTTTTTCTGCTTTAAAGTTTAAAAGCAAACTAAGCAAACAAAATTATGTTCTCTAGATTCTGTCTGCCGCTGCTCACAACATGTACACCACAAATTCCTCAGAATGCCATGGTTAACAGCTCACCACACGATATTATTCTACTAGTCCCGACAACTTACCTGCAAGGGCAGCGATCACCATCTAGAACCTTTCCTCGATTCCATTGAGATTCCAGAACCAACGAGCTGGTGCCTCACTCCCTTTCTTTTAAAGAAAAAAGATCAAAAAACTTCGAAAAAGATAAAAAAGGTTGGTGGTTGAGCCTCACTCCCATTTACCTACCGAATGGAATTGTGATTATAGTATCACATTACCATTGTTTCTACCAGCTAGTAAATCATAGCCAAATGAATCACTGATTGTCAAAACTGTAAATGTCATTTAACCAGACTCCTCACTGTCTTCAACACCTAATCAAAACACAGAGATCATCACTCAGCAAACGAATCGACACATTTCATGACTAACCTTGATGCGTTGTGGCTGGTGCATCACATTCTCATTGTTCGAGTCATTCTCATCACTCCACATTACCAAATCCAGACAGAAAACTTCTAAGTTGACAGCAATGCAAAATAAAAACTGACTGAAAAAGTGACTACTCGGTGAGACATCGTATACAATGGATTACCGGCAACGTACTGGAAAAAATAGTATTGTAATGAACCCACTCTGATAGGTACTCAGAAGTCGTCAATCCACTGTAGCTTCAATATCTGTATGAAAGTCTCCAGATCATGAAGTGATATCTCAAACAGTAACTCAATATCAAAAAGAGAAGAGATTTGAGGGAGAATAGACAAAGGAGAGGAAGAGAGATCACACAGAACCCTTCGGATCCCTCTCCTTCTTCGGGCTTCTTTCCACATCACTTCATCAATTATAACAAGTATATTCTTGATCACATACACGCACACAATAGTGCCACGTGGCACTTTTCTCATGAAGACCCTGAAGTCACAGCAGATTTCCAGTGACGACGTCAACCACAGGTGAATATCCGATTCCCTACATCCACAGATCCCGATCTTCGTCCTCCTCCCAACCAGTCACCTCATGTAGACAGCGTGGACAATGCCACATCAGCAATCAAGCCAGGTGGCATATGCCAAATCATCAATGAAGACCAATAGCAGCACCACGTAGACCAGGAGCAGCGCCACATATATCAGAGGCAGCGCCCCATCAGCATGCCACGTAGACCAGAGGCAGCGCCACGTCAGCATGCCACGTCGACCAGCGACAGCGCCACATATACCAGAGGCGGCACCACATCAGCATGCCACATCGACCAGAGGCCGCGCCACCTCAGCATAGCCTGGCGCACACAGAAAACGCCAGCATGCTGCCTCCCTTCCGTGTCGTCGTCGCAGCGCCTGCGCGCAGCCAGCATGTGGTCAGTGTCTCACAAAAGTCGAGCCAGCGTCAAAGCCGCATAGCACGACTGAATGCTTGACTCGCTCGAGGCCAGCCTTAAGTAGCAGTCGTCGGGGCTGTCTGGCCTCGGGTGCCTTTCCTCCAGTCGTCCAGATTGACTCACATCTCAAGGCCCGGATTGTACAGTTGCAGACTTCTCCCTTGGACCTAATGCTGTCTGGGTACCTGCATACAAACAATTGTGTGTGCTTGACCTGCGGCCTGGGCTAGGTACCTCTGGACTTTGACTGTTGGGTGGACCTACAGTTGACAAAAGTCAACTGTCACACGCCCAGGCCCTGAATTCGTGAGGGGGGTTTTCTGCCCTTGTTTGGCCTGGGCTGAGGGCGGCCAAGTAGGCCTTCTGATGGCCCTCAGTTCCTCGAGACATATGTCATGGGTTATTGCAGTATACAACATTAAAGAATATACCACCAGGCAAAATATGCAGTTCTGACAAATACATTGTGATAGCAAACATATTGTTTAAGACATTGGGGGAGAAGCATGTGTACACAGGCATGGCCTGCAGATTTCAGAGCTCAAGTCTGGTCGACCGGATACAAATGAGGCACTGTAACCACCTGAAGCTGATCTTGCCGTGCTCTGGATCTGTTTTCACTGACAAAGATTTCCAGCTCTTTCTCCTTTTCTCGCAAAGCCTCTAAATTGCGTGAAATATCTTGCAGCTCCCTTGAGCGCTCCTCTTCGTACCACTGGAGCTTCGACTGCAATGCACGGGATAGCTGCATCTCTGTTACCAGCCTTTTCTGGAGGGTTTTCACCTCCTCCACCTTCGGTGAGCTCCCAAGCACCACACAATCTGCTTGACCCAATCAATTTCAACAAAAATGAAGACCATCAGTAAAAGGATCCACGGACCCAGCATGTGAGAAGGAAAGAGGGACCAAAACAGGGTACCAGGATAGGAGGGAAGATAGGGGAGGAAAATAGAGAGGAAGGAAAACAAGTGGGACAGACATAGAAAAGGAGCGAAGGGGAGAGAGGGTAAGGAAGCGAAAGGGGGAAAGAGGGAGTCTGAAAGACAGGGGGAGTGAGGGGAGTGAGGGAGAGTGAGAGAGAGGAGGGAGAGCGTAGGGAGAGTGAGATGAGAGAGTGAGAGGTCCGAGTGAGGGAAAGAGGGAGGAAGAGAGAGAGAAAGAGGGGGAGAGTGAGGGGGAGAGTGAGAGGTCCGAGTGAGAGGGCCGAGTGAGAGGTCCAAGTGAGAGGCCAGAGGGAGGGAGAGAGTGAAGGATAGGGGAGTGGGCGAAGTGTGGGGGGAGGGGGGAAAATGTGGGGGGGAGCGAGGGGGGAGTGAGGGCGAGAGTTTTGGGAGAGTGAGGGTACAGTGGACAGATGGGAGTGAGGAGTGAGGAGTGAGGAGTGAGGAGGAGTGAGGGGGAGAGAGTGAGGAAGGGAGATCCACTGAAGGAGAGAGTGAGGGAGACGGGGAGAGAGCGAGGGAGTGATGAGAGAGAGATCAAGGGATTGAGAGAGAGATCAAGGGATTGAGAGAGAGAAGTGAGAGGGAGCAAAAGTGGAGTTAGAGCAAGGAGTGGAATGACAGAGAGCAAGGAGAGAGGTATCAAGGAGTCAGAGAGAGTGAGGAGGAAGAGGCATGGAGCAGAGAATCAGAGAGGGAGAGAGATGGGTTGAGAGGGGGAGTGAAAGAGAAGTGGAGTGATGAGCAAGAGGGGCGGAGGAGTGAGAGGCAGCAGGAGCGAGAGCTGAGACGGTGAGGAGTGAGAGAGGAAGTGGGGAATTATGAGTAAGAGAGGGGGTGAGAAGCGATAGGCAGCGAAGAGTGAGAGATAGCGAGAAGTGAGACCGAGCAAGGAGAGAGGGATTGACGAGTTGAAGGGAAAGGGCAGAGTGAGCAAGGCAGCAGGAGGGTGGAGCAAGAACGGAGGGGGGAGGAGACTGGCCCGGAGGTTGACCAAAATGGGGAGCCAGAGGGGTACTCAGATGGGGAGTGCAAGGAGGAATAGAGGGGGAGCAAGACGGGAAGAGTGCGAGCGGGGAGCTGCAGTGAGAGGAAGGGAAGGAGGGAGTAAGGGATGCGGTGGGAGGGAGAGGGGGAGCAAAGGCAGGAAGGGAGGGAACAAGTGGGAGGAAGCACAAGGCAGGGGGAGCACAAGGCGGACAGAGCGCAACGGGGGGAGGGGGCGGGTTGCAAGAGGGGGGAGTGCTAGCAGGGGGAGGAGGGAGGCAGGGAGGGAGTCATAATGGAGGTCAGAAGCGACAAGGGGAGAGCAACAGTTGGGGAAGGGTTAACGAATTCAGGTTACTGCTGGTAGCATTATAACCTATCGGCCTACTGGATGGGCCTACCTACTGATGTATGGATGGGGCCTATGACACCTACCGGTTGTGACTATGATACATGGCTGGGACTTAAACTGGGACTGGGACTCTGAGGTTAGTGAAATCCTTCCAAAAGCAGCAGAAAAGAAATGGACAGAAAAAGAAGTGCATTAGAGAGGTAGGAAGCAAAAGATAAATTAAGAAAGAGAGGTATGAGACCCAGAGATTGAGGAAGCGAAAAAGAGAGGCATGGGAGGTGAGGAGGTGAGGAGGCTGTCTCTTATACACATCTAGATGTGTATAAGAGACAGATTCAGAGGAGATTTCGGAGTTCGCCAAATATTTTTCCGAATTCGGTGTTCACAAGCCTGAACCGAGCCAACAAAAGGAGGTGCACATCACTCCCACCAAGCCATAAGAAAGCTGACTCATTCAGTTGCTCAGATATCAATCCATAAGTTCTGGAGAAACGGTGTCGTAGGGCGGACTCACACTAGTACTATCTTAAGTCTATCTGACCGCATTTTCTCCTGAACCTATATACATCTGGCGGCAATTCCGTCCAGAAAGAAGTAAAAGAAGTTACTAAAAGCTTCAAAAGGTGCTAGTGTGAGTATGCCCTTAGTCGTGTTTCAAGCCAAGTGCTCAAACTTCTGCATGTCCAGATTTGATCACTGAGTTACACAGATGGGTATATGACTGATAGATCCAAACTGATCGCCCCCTCAACCTCAGGCATAATCACTTGTTCCGGCAAGAAAAGTCGGCAACAACCAGCACACCAAAGGGTTTTTGACTGAGTGTATAACTTTATACGAGCCATCCTTGGGAGGAGTGTGAATGAGTGATCTTTGCCGCACGTGTGCATGGGTTGTCACACGGTTTTCAAGGTGCAGGGAGGACGAGGAAGGAGGCTGAAGGTTGAGGGCCGATGTTGGGGTGCAGGGCTGCACAACCATCAGAAAAAGGCAGATGTGGGCTGATGTGCTATCCATCAGCACGAGGGGAGAAGGCAGAGGGGGGATGTTGGGATCTTGTGTCCAGTTGGCGATGTAGAGGTCTTGTGTTGAACAAGCATGGAAAGAAGCACTCATGGGCTGCATGAGTGCTATCTGTCAGCACAAGGGGAGAAGGCGGAGGTGGGGTGATTGAAGAGGACGTGTAGGAGAGCTTCCCAGTGTCAGCAGGGGTGAAGCCGCAAAGGGGTTGGTTTCAGATCTTTCTAAAGAAGGCCAAGGAAGAGGCGGGAGAAGAATATGAAAGTGCCAGCAATATCAGAAGGGGGAAAAAACAGGTCCACAATGAGAGGAAAATCCAGAAGTAATCGATCAACTTGCCACAGTATTAAATTTGTGTGTTGCTTGTGTTTATCAGCATGCACGTCTACTAAGAGAACTAGCAATACTTCACCACACCAAAAGCACCTCTTACGAACCAACCACACAGCATGACTGCCATAGTGATCGACGCAGACACTGCCGGAACATGTGACCATCACAGAGAAGAAAGTCCAATCCACACACACCCCTAAGGTATATATATATATACAGGATCAAAAATAAGGTTTTTTCTGAATGTTTTTTTGTGAGTTCTCTAGGATGTAACCTACACGCCTGTGAATTTTGAAGTCATTCTGCTAAGCCAAAAAAACATTAAAAATCGTCAAAGATGGGGGTGTCAAAACGTGCTCGCCCTGTCACGATTTTCTTTTTTTTCACTTTTAACTTTTTTTTTTCACTTTATTTCGGGGCCTAAACAAACTTATGATTTTTTGAAACTTTTTTAACGAGTTATTGATTATGTAAACTACATATCTGTAAATTTTCAGGGCATTTGTCAATGCCAAAAAATAATTAAAAATCGGCAAAGATGGCNGAGAGAGAGAGAGAGAGAGAGAGAGAGAGAGAGAGAGAGAGAGAGAGAGAGAGAGAGAGAGAGAGAGAGAGAGAAATAGAGGAAAGGTGTAGGAAATGAAAGGGAAGCATATAGAGAAAGGAGAGAAATACCAGGAGATTGAGCAGCACAGCAAGCATAAAATATCACATCCAAGCAGAGTAAGCATGCATATGTTCTGTGTGCGAGGAGATGTAAAGCACCAAGAAAACAGAACAGGCTAATGTCACAAATCATGAGGATATATAGGCCTCCTATGGTATTTTTCCAAACTGATGTGGACACAGATGCTTGGGTTCCGTATTATCCATTAAAGCAGACAGGAAGGGTGTGAGGTAGTAAATACCAGGCACAGGGAGGTGCTGTGAATCGTGATGCGCCATCTCAATTGCCACATTGCTTCCAGGCATCACCTCAACCACCTGTACGGGTGGGACCTGCAGGTGGACCAAAGCTGTCGGTGCTGGCCTTATTTCTGACCTGTAGTCAAAGTAACAGCTGTCCACTAGCCTCATGTATGTTCCATTGGTCATTGACCCGGCGCCTTGCAGCCTTTCTTCCCCATAAGTTGGGCTCCCCATAATACGGGATGGCAAGTGTTCTTCGTCTTTGCAATCACAATAAGAACAGTGCCCCAGAACCTGCAGATATGCACTGGTGAAAGACCCAGTGTCGCCCACTTTTCTAGTAGGTCTTCCTGCTCAGCTGTAGCCAAAGACTGCCCAGAACTGGTTTTCCCGCGTTTGAACATAGAAGCATCATTGCTTTAACCTGATCCGAAGATTCAGCATCTCCATGTTTGATTTGTTGGTGAACAAATTCAGCGCTTTGCATGGGAGCACCAGCCACACAACCTCAAACCCAAACCTCTCTTTCTCCTCCCTCCACCAGACCGACACACTCTCTCTCCCTTCCCCTCCCCACCCCCGCCCCCCCCCCCCCCCCCCCCCACAAGCCCAACTGTGCTACTCAAGGATATAAAGTTCCATAGTCTGCATCCTAGTCATTGAAATCCATGAAATGACGATAGTCATCTGCCATAAGACACAACCACCCAGCAACAGCTTCAGTTGATGCACATCACAAAGGGTTTCAACTTCAACGAATAGTGACAGTTGTCATACAGGCCATCAAGTTATTGCACATCACATGCACACCAGATTAGAGAAACTGCGACATCGACACAAACCATCATACGCCAACCATAACTCAACTTGGGTTTTCGGGAAATGGACATTGATAACATCCACCCAACACTAGACCTAGGTCACTGATTTGATACTATCACAAAGAGGACATAAACATACCTACATCAGGTCACCATCTACGGTTGTCAGTTCAAGACCACAGCTGCACCAGCTCACCTTCCACAATCCTTTTTTTTTTTTTTCTTTTTTTTTAAAACAGGTCCTTATGGGCCTGGCTCCATATCCATTCTGGGGAGGCGTCAGTCCGGTTCCTATTCCCCCGGCAAGTCGAAACGGGTTGCATCATATTACTCACTCAATGCTTCCTTCCGTCTGGCCGAAGGACCCCTGACCAGCATCGATTACTCCTTCGAAGGAGCTCATGCTTAATCATTGCCTCCAGGCGAAATTCAAATGGTCCGAAATTCGCAAATCAATTATAAATCAATCGCTCCCTCCAGGCTTCGAAGGAGGATTTACTGTCAGCGTGCCCTGACCATCTGTTCCTCTCTGGCTTCTACTTGGGGTCTGTCGAATGAGTCCCTGTATTACGAGAACAGTGGGGGGGTCCGCTCTGTGCACCTTCCACAATCTTATCAAGGTCACCAAGGACTTTCTCATGTCTACAGCCATTCTTTCTCAAGAAATCTGGCAACTGCAAATGGTGACCTAGCCAGTCACACCGAGGAACCACTCGTCCTCAAGACCAACCGATGAACTACCGTAGCAGAACCTGGTCATCTACCAAAAACTCCGAACTCCTTCCGTCTTCGTAACAGAACTGACATAGATGGGGAAATAGAGCAGTAGTGAGACCTCCATTCCCAACATCCTACCACCACTGACCATCAAATCAGGATGAGGACTATCCTCCAGAATATGTTAGCCAAAAGTGTGCAGGTATTGGGTGAACATGTGGGGGAATCCCGCCTTGCCCTCCAATCTCCAACATGCCTCCTTAAGAAAAAAAGCCTAGAGAAGCGGGTCGTGCCAGTCTTCTTCAAGAAAAGAGAAATGCCAGGATCCTGCATCCCTCTGATTTCGTTAGACTCTGTTTCGAGTACCAAATTTAAACAATATAGCCATAAAACTGGCAGCAGAAATATTCTCAATCCCACTGGACTGGGCAATGTAACCAGTCCACAACACCTTTCTTTCAACGGTGCGGGGAATCATGATCGGCATTCCAAGGAATGACCATGCTCAGGAGCCTTTTCCTAGTGGAACCAAACAAGACGTCGAGTTTAAATTGTGGCGGGAACTCTGAAATGTCCGACAAGCAAACAGTTCAACAATCGGAACACTCCTGAAAAAAAGTTGACCTCCGTGAAAGTCGTACTGGGACGGTAGTGGCTATGAAAGTGATAGAGGTACGAAATCGCTAGGTTGACAGGCGGCTTGAGGAACTGCCACAGACCCTCCCCTCGTGCCTGGCCTCTCCAGGTTTTGACCTGTTGTGTGACTCGGTGCTGCTAGTAAGCTCCCCAGCCTGCACGCCAACCCCCTATGAAAGGCCAAGGCTTGGGGGGTGGGACGTTCTGTAGTAGGCCCCCCCTTGATAGGCGTATAGCACCACAAGCATTGGGCCGTTGCTGATGTCCCCAAGAATAGAAGGGGCTTTGTGGTTGTGGTTAAATGAAGGAAAAAAAAAAAGGAAGTTGTACTGCAACAGTGTGGCTGTGACTACTCCTACACATTCCATTCAGTGGTCAACTAGACTTCCAGACTAATGTTTCACGACCTCAAACAATCAAAACATTCACACCGTTGAAGTTGTAGTATGGGAGCTGCCGCCCTTCTGAAAAAACAACACCAACAACAACTATGGGAGTGTGGCTACCACAACTACTACAAGGTCCATTCAGTTTTGTATGAACTTCCGGATTAAACCACAAGTATGTTTCCCCGCTTGTAGTCACCCTGGTACATTCGGAAGCCAAGCGGGAAAGGGCCGCCGTTGATAAATTTCATCGGCGGCCCGTTTTTTTGTTTCAGGCCTCCCAAACTGCTCGCGGCCGATATATGGAAAACGTACTGGTGGCTTAACATCGCACGGGATTAACAGTCTAACAATAAGAACATTCCCACACAAGTGACCTCCATAGAAGCTATACTACGACAACCTCGCTTCATCCACCCCTGCATGATCCCCTCCCTCAGCACCTGGACTTCCAAATAAATTCTTGACTTGTCAAACAGCCAAAACAATCAGAAGATTCCTTCACACAGTTAATTGTGTACAAGTTGTGCTATGGCAGTGTGCTTACGAAACAATAACCTACATAACCCAGTCGTTAATTGAAATGAAATCCCAGATGAAAAGTTCTGACTTGAAGAACACTAAAAGCGCTCCTACAAGCAGTGACCTCCGCACAAGTTGTACTACAGCAATGTGGCTACTATAGCTCCTGCACGATCCATTCAATATTTGAACAGGCTCCCGAGCAAATCTCTAACTTGACAAACGGTCAAACAATCAGAGCGTTCTTACACACAATAACCTTTATAGAAGTTGTACTCCAACACTGGCTACAACCACACCATTGAGCACTTGAATGGACTTCTGGATGAATGACCTGCTTGACGTACAATCAAGAGCTCAGAACACTGTCTGTGTATACCTGACGGTCCTCAGAGAGCTGACGAGGCTCACATCCTGTCTCTTATACACATCTAGATGTGTATAAGAGACCTGCTTGACGTACAATCAAGAGCTCAGAACACTGTCTGTGTATACCTGACGGTCCTCAGAGAGCTGACGAGGCTCACATCAGCTCACCTGTCGCATGATTGTTCCACAAAGCAAACAATTTTGAATTTTCTGATCTTATGAGGGATGCTGGACCCGCTTTCCAGCGGGTGCTGCTCCCCACCAATAGACTGGAGCCACAAACCAAGTTGCTAGGGGTGAATTTTATTACCATCACTCCTAGCAAACTGGGTAGGTGTTTTTTTTTTTATATATAAAAAAAGGAAGAAAAAAAGAATGCCAAGGGGGGGGTCAGTGGACTGGAGAAACCGAGGGATCATTATTAGGAGTTGGAACATCAACGGTCTGGGGAATGTCATAGACAGAGAAGAAAAGTGGAATGATATTCCAACCGGATTGACATCGAACAACAAATTAATTGCGGATATTATATTGCTTCAAGAGACACATCTCTCCTTCTCCCAGGAACACAACAGGATCCGGAAACTCATCGCAAGAAAAATGGGAGCTATAAGAGATGAAATATGGGCAGCAGACATTAATTCAAATACGAAAGGAACAGCCATCTTAATCCCTAAGTCATCCCGCTTCTACGTGTCAGGAAGCGTTTTGAGTAAGGAGGCGGATCTCCAAGAGGGCAGATGGTGCTCCATGCACCTTAAGTGGAAGGAAGAGGAGTTCCTCCTGTACAGCATCTACGCTCCAAATGAATCAACGCAAAGAACATCCTTTGTAGCGAATTTGAGCAGCGGCATTCCGCCATTAATTTTGTGTATACTAGCTAGGGATTGGAACGCTACCCTAGACCCAGCGACAGACCGCATATCACGGTCCACCAACGCATACAATCCATCCACGTCACAGGAGGCCCTACCAATCCAGAAACTGATGATTGATCAGGGATTGGTCGACCCGTTTAGGACCATGCACCCTACCGAGAGAGAATTCACCTTAATCAAGAAAAACCATGCTCATCACGCAGCTTTCTCACGGATAGACTATTTCTTGGTATTAGACACATTGATAGGGGCGGTGAATGAGGCGGAGATCCTCCCCCTTGCTCCCTATCCTGGTCTCGATCACAAGCCCGTCGGGATCACTATCTGCTTTGAGCAACAAGTAAGAAAAGGGGCAGGTTTTCATAAATTGAACAATTCCCTCTTACTCGGTCAATCTTTCCAAGAAGGTACACAGGAATTTTGGGGTGCAAGGAGAATGAGCCGTGTGCCTGTCCAGGATCGATGGGATTGGTTTGTAGAAGGCTACTCCTTACTCGCGAAGACAGCAGCTGGAATGTCAAGAAAGTTGGCCTCGATCACAAGCCCGTCGGGATCACTATCTGCTTTGAGCAACAAGTAAGAAAAGGGGCAGGTTTTCATAAATTGAACAATTCCCTCTTACTCAGTCAATCTTTCCAAGAAGGTACACAGGAATTTTGGGGTGCAAGGAGAATGAGCCGTGTGCCTGTCCGGGATCGATGGGAGTGGTTTGTATAGCGCTACTCCTTACTCGCGAAGACAGCAGCTGGAATGTCAAGAATGTTGGCCTCCATAAGAAAGAAAAGAAAACAAAGCCTGGAGCAGGCGCTGAGGATTGCAGAATATAACCTACGAGACAATCCGTCTTCAGCGCTATACACAGGCATCTTCGAAAAAGCACGGGAAGAGATGGCAATGTGGACGTGGTGGGATTTGAAAGGACTGCAAGTAAGAGCCAGAATGTGCGAATACGAACTCAGTGAGTCGATGACAAAACACTTCTTTGCACGAATCAAAGCCAACACAAGAGCAGCCACAATAGAGAGAATGAAAACCCTCTCTAACCCGGTGAGGACAGCGGACATCAGTGAA